TGATTATTGCTTACCTTAATTTTATCCTACCGTAATTTTAATATTGACATTATTTCTGTCAGAATCAAGCAATCAAAAGTACATCAAAGATATCTTGCACATAATCTATGGTTGGTTTCTTATAATTACCTTTTAGATACTGTGGATATAATAGAATTAACAACGATGTTGCGAAATACTGAAATAGATGATATTGTTTGCCCATATTTAATTGTTTCGTTACTTTCTGCTCTTGACACGTCACCAGAACACATATCAGCTGATATACCTGCGAAACATATGCATGACAAATTGATTCGGAATAAAGATTTTATAAATAACTTTACAAACATTATTGATAAAGAACGATGGAAGATTGAAGCTGCTAGAGCAACTGTTATGATTCAATGGTGTCCTTTTATCTTAGAGGCAATACACAAATCACCTACATTAGAGGCACAATTGATTATCAAAGAAGAACATTTAGGGGAAATGTTTCAACGTGCAGTTGCCAAAGATGCTTTCCAATTTATACTTCATTATTTGTTATCTTTCCAGAATACTGAGATGGAATCTATGTGTATCGAAATAATGCCAAGTGCAACAACATTATGTGAAACACTTAGTCCCGAGGATGTTGAATTCCCGCCTCCAGGTATGGTGCCGGAAACTTTCATAATTATATCGGAGGACTTTGAATTATATATTCGAAAACAACTCGAGTTGTTTGTTATATCAATTGTGACCAGAATGGGAAATAATTTACAAAGGATCAGACGGCAGGAAGAAGATGCTATTCAATCAGCAGATGCGGAATCTTTAACTCGTTCAACAATAAAGAAATCTGCTGTAGTGCGTCATGACACAGAGACTTTTTTCTTCTTGATTGCAAATATATATAGGAATCATCCTGATGAAGGTTTCAGATTTTGGATGGATTTGAAAGAACAAATTATTGATTGGGGATCTAGTGTTTATGAAAAAGGAATGAGGCGTGGTTATTTGGAAATGCTTTGTTCATTGGCAACTGGTCCTTATTGTAGTGGTTATGCTGATGAATTTCTTTCACGCAGTTCTGAGCAAAATAAAGTATGGTGTTCATGGCGTACTTTAATTGGTACCATTGATATTTATACACGTGACGAAAACGATGAAAAACAAATCGTAAAAGATGAGGCTATGCTTTTAATATCGTTCATTCGTGTTTTTCGGCAAGTTATTCAATATTCAATACAAGCCAGATTAAGATTTCTCCAAGATAATGTTTTAAGATTGCTTTTTCGTCTGATGTGTCGAAATGTTCATACTGAATTGAAAGCAGAGCTTCTTTATGCCATTGCATCTTTCTGTATGCCAGATTATGCTGACCATATTTATATCGCAAGACAAGTTTGGAATCTTTTAGAAGATGCTCAAATTGTTCCAACCGTACCAAAAGATATTGTCTTCGACCCAGCCAACGTTTGGGAAGTCTCGAATATGCAAGCACAGGATCCACCAAGCATTAAAAAGGAGATTGAGGAAACTGAATCTCGCGAGAAGTTATTTTTCGTAACTTTAGCATTTGTACGATTTATTAGCGAATTGATTTACATTCCTCATTTTAACGCATCATTATGTTGTGGATTCCCTGTTCGTTCTATGTCTATTGATGATCTTCTTGGAGCAGGTTATCGACAACCTGGCATTGCACCGTATATCAATTTTATTCTGGATGATATTTTTATTAAAGCACTTGCGCGTGATTATAAATTCCCTACACAACAATGGAATATAATATCGGCTTCCTTGGAAGTCATTGAAAAATGCATGATTTCTTTTGACTTGACTGGTCCATTATTTTATGACGATCAATCTACAAAGTCATCAGAATCAACACCATTCGTTCAGAGAAGTATTAGTAAAGATGAACTTATTCTTTTCAACAACAATGCGATTAAATATTTAAAGAATCATCCCGGATTCGATATAATGAAAAGATTGTTGAATAATTCTCCTCTTGTGGATATGATGTTTAATATTCTCAATCAGGATATAGAATCACTTGATGAAGTTGATGAAGTTAATAGGAAATCATTCTCACCATTCATTAAAGAGTCTATTCTGCGATGTTTGAGAATATTCTGGTTAGCATTTGAAAAGCAGGACCGATTTTTAAATAAATTAATTCCGTTAGTGAGTCAGACTTCTCCGGGATACCTTGAAAACCTGGAAAATGCATTCCTTTCCAAACAAGACATTATTGTTCAAATTGCATCATTATTAAATTGTGAAAATGCTGAGATATGTTTATATGCTGTCAAAATTTTATCTGCCCTCGCTAGATCTTCACTATTTAATCCAATAGGCGTAGAGAATAGATTAGCAGCTATCTTGGATTCTGATCCGAGTTCAGAGGCAATTCTTGATGTATTTGTCATGAGGTTGGATATCAATAGTGGTGATGATGTTTGGGACAAAAAATATAGATTCGAAGATTTTGAGCTGACACGACTTGGACTTCAGGCTTGGGCTATACCTGGGGACGAAGAATTTAGTGCGATACCATCAATAGAAGACACAGAAATAACATTTGGCACAGTAAGGTGTGCCATTTTGGACTTAATATTAGAGAATTTAAGACCTGATAAAACACCGCCTACAATCTCACATTTTCTTCTGGGTTATGATCTTCGTGGATCATTGCAAAAGTCAATAATCAAGTATATAAATCAAGATAGTCTTAGAGAGTCTTGCTTACATAAAATATTGGAAATGCTTGGCCAACCGATTCATGATGATACTGAAACTGATAAGCAGTATTCTGTACTATCAGAGTTCCCCGCGTTAGCGGCTTGTTGTTATCAGATTATTTACAGACTTTGTAGGGATAACCATACTTCTGAACCGACTATGTTGTTTCTCCGTAGTCAAGGGTTTGTACAAAAGCAATTTACAGCAATGCCTTTATATATTATTAAACCAAATCAATCCATTGCTTGGGATTCTGGCACAATCACAAATTATAACAAGGGTCCAATTTCTATTGATTTAATTAACCTTTGCGCAAATATTAACCAAAGGACATGGTTAATGAAAATATTGGCTTTGGAGTTACGTAAATGCCAGACACTTTCCGGTATTGAACAATTGCTAGCTTTGATACTCGGTGCTAATATAATAAAACCACAAGAAGGTGCAACTGATGAGGAAGTTTTGGCTCCTTCTGCGATTAAAACTCGTGAAATTTTACATATGTTGGAATTAGACTGGAATGATCCGTGGAAAATAGATGCGCCCGAAAATTTCTCCAGTATGATCAACCACAAAGCTTGTTTAACGCTTTATGAACGAGGAAATAAAAGATATAGACTACGAGATATTTTCTCTGAATTAAATCAGGCATTCGATCATTCACGCATTGCACAGGATGGTAGCTTACGTAAAAGGATGATGCATATATTAAGGTATTGTTACTATCTCAATCGTAACGAAGAATTTAACCTTTCCAGGTATGAAGGATTTAAAGCTTGGAGGGAAGTAATTGAAGTAATTATTATAGACCATTATACTCGCTTGCGGCTTCATGTACGCGAGTCTACTTTTCTCGAGATTCTTTCCACGTTATTAACAACATTGCAGCGCGAAGGAAATGCCATTGCAATTGTCCTCAGTAAAGTTATTCTTGCAGCAATTACAGCAATACGGTCAGATCATATGCGCCTACACACTTTACGATCTCAATTTAGGGTGGCATCACGGAATCTCTCACCTATATTCAGTCAGATTCTTGAATGCCTTTTCGTACCAGGAATCCCACCTGAAGTACGAAACAATTTGTATGCAACGATATATAATTATTTGCATTATATTGACGTTCAATCAGCTATTGGTGCTGGAAAACTACTTAAAGGTGTTGGCGATAGATTACTCGATATCATCTTTGAAGACGCGGCAAATGGACATGTAGTTGGAAAATTATGTGCTTTAAATGCATTGACTGCTATTTACAGATTACTTAAACAAGACAAAGGAAATTTAATCATTAAATATATCAAGTCTAATTTTCTTGGAGGCATCATTACGAGTTTAACAAGTCAGAACGATTTGCTATTGCAGGCAAAAGAGCAACAGCCTGGTAAGTTATTCCTATTAAATCAAATAGATCAATATATATATGAATTTTTCTTCATAAAGGCTGATTTATTTTATAATTAGAATTAAGTGCAATGCATGCAATATACGTATTTGAAGCTAGGATGGGGCTTTTACTGTGTCTTGCTCAACGTCATGACCTTTCATTAGAACTATTGAAAAAGGGTATTATTGAATACTTGGGTGAATTAACTTTCTTGAATGAACGACCAAGTTTTAATAGTCATAGCGCAGGTAATATCGAACAGATATTAAGTCGATATTGGATCATTATGCATTAACTTGATTTGGTTTATATCTATCCATTGTAGATTCCTATGGAAAACCGGCATATAAACTATATCATGATCTTTTAATGATGGTGATTCGTCTTATTACTTGCATCCTTGCAACTGTTGGATGTGATGAAAAAGCGTTGAATAAGGTAAAATAGGTATATTTAACCACTTTGTGCTTATGAGTGCTAAGGTTTTTTTTTTTTTTAGGTTACAAACTTCGTCTGCGGACATCAAGGACTGATAGCTGAAATTTTTACTGATATCCCACTCTTTGATCATTTAAACTTTCAAAACTCGGAGAAACGTGCAATATTTATTATGACCGTTGAAGTATTACAAGAAATAACACGTTTGTTTTATATCTTGGGTGACAAAATAAAAGATATTGATAAAGTCGTAAGTGCATTTAGAGTTTCAGACTTTTGATTATCAAACTTTTATGAATTTGTTTACTATTGATATTGAAAGCGTCGGGAATCCCATCAAAGCACTTATCAAGAATTTCTTAAAGAATTGATTTCACGATTCTTTCCTGCCAGGAAGCGGATATCCAGTATGATCGATGATGAAAATTCGAGGATTCAATGTAAGGTTCTTAGCTCCTTTATTTTAATTTGAAATTAACAATGAGTGTAATGCAGAATTGTTATTCTATTTAGATATACGACAACGTGTGGAGAATATTAATGAAAATCTTTTAGGATGGTGTCAAAAAATGACATCCCCTTACAAGAAAGATCAAAGTAAATTTCAATTTTTTATGTCTAATACGTATGATTATTCAGAAGGTTTATGTGATCTAATATTATAGTAGATTTCGAGCCAATATTTACTGCATCTCTTGACGCTGCTAAAAGACCAGACGATGATTATCATGGTGATATGAGTAGGATATATATCGATTAAATATTTCATAATTTATTAAATGAATAAGTCATTTTCCTTGTTAATAATTTACAACTTTTATAATAGAGCATCCAGAACTTTCCATTCTCGTTAACTATCTTCGTGATTCAATTGAGAATCTCGACAAAAGTTTACAGAATCTTGATAAATTAACCTCACAACTTGATAAGGGTGAGGATGCAGCACTAAGTTATAAGATAGAGGTTTGTATGATTTGAAATACTAGTTGGTTTAATGGTCTAGATATAAATAATTTATTCAATTTTTTACAAAATTTTTAGGGTCTTTCTTCGATTTCTGGTGACTTGGTTGGATTGAGTGATTCTCAACGCAAGGCATTAGCTTATCGAATTGTTCAGGAAGATCATGATACAGCATCAAAACGTGTATCACACTGTTTATGTAAGATAGTTTTTCCACAATTAATTTAACGCTTAAACAATTCATTATTTATGTTAAAATGGTCTTTAAATTATATCCATTTTTATTCAAAGATGACGTTGAAGTTTCTTTACCATTATTGTGGCGTCATCTAGATTATTATTTGAACCCTAAAAGATCACATATATCACAGGAGTACTTGCGAAAAAATGCACCGGTCGTTTTGAAAGATATATTAACCAGATTGGAATGTTTAGAAAAGCAACCGGTATTAACTTAATTACGGTCATGTCGCTTTATTTTGCTGTACTAAATGCCTAAAATTTTTGTAGAAAATAAAGGAAATCCTTGAACGATTTGGAGCTCGGGATAATTATTTTCAAGAATCCGTGCGCAAACTTAACGCGCTTATCGATCCAAAATTATAATAAATTTTTTTAAAAAATATTAAAACATTAATTTATACTATATTACCCAATAATATCGTTTTATTTTTGTAAAGTTACGCAATATAACATTGGAATGTGCGCATTATGTATCCTTCCGAATATTTTTACCAATTTTTGCTTTGTCAAAAATTTTTATTTTTGGTTTTACATGTTTGTAAAATTAAAATAGAAAAATTTATTAAATTTATTAATTAAAGCTCATGTTTAATAAATTATTTATATTTTTTTAATAAATTAAAAAAATATATATGTATATATATTAAAAAAAGATATTACTACAGTATATACAGTGCGCGACACTTAAAGACTATTTTTAAATTTTAAAATTTAAAACTTTAATTTGTTTTAAAATGTTAATTTTTGATGTTTTTATAGGTGCTTAATTTTGATTAGTCAAATTTCTTGAATTTTGATTGGTTAAAATGGGTTTAAAATTTTATTATATAAATTTAACCAATTTGATTGGCTATTTTTTTTCAATGTGTTTTATTATTTACTTTTTTCATATATAATCATTTAAAAATGAAAAAGTGTGCTTGTAAAGTAGTATTCATAATTTATATTAAACTAGTACTGTATTGTATAGAAATTATTTTTGCATTATTTTTAAGATTTCTATAACAATACCGTTTTAACATAAATTATGGATGCCGCCTAACCAGCAATAACACTTTTCTGTATAATGTATAATCAAAACAAAAACAAATATATTGTAAATTTGTTATTTTAGAATTAAGAGTTTATAGCATTTTTATAGTAAAATTTTACAAGGAATTTTTTTTGTTAGAAAACAAAAGGTGGATTTATAGATATAATTTTTAGTTATTATGAAGAACAGGATTTTTACTTCAATTTTATATTACATGATTAGGTGTAACATTACACTTGATTATTGGCATGGAACTGTTACTGCTGGTTACAAAACCCCAGATATCTCTGATATATGTTATATTTTTTTTTAGCAAATTGCCAAAAATTTGGTTAAAGGTCCAAAGTAGAGTTTTAGCAAATTGACGTTAATTTTAAAATAGGTCATAATTGACTATTTTGGCGAATTATATCAATTTTATACATGTTATATTTTATTTTTAGCAAATTATCTACATTTTAGAAAAATTATACTCAAAAATAAGCTACTTTATTTTTCAAACCACTTTATTTTTTTGGTTCAAATTCGGCAATCATGCCACAACTTTATTAGGTTTTGTAATAGTCATTTAGACTATTAAAATTTTAGAGAGACTTATCGGTATTTTCAAACCACTTTAATTTTTCAAAATTAAGAGAAGATACTTAATTTTAAATTTTTTGATCAAAAATCCAAGATTATGCATCTTTTCTTAAATTTTCAAGAAATACAAAATTAAATATATTAAAATAGTGTATTTTTATGTGCTAAACAAGTTTACTTAGAGCATAAAGTTAGAATTAGTTAGTAAAATTTGAGAATTATAGCATTTTATAGTATTTTTATTAATAAAATTATATAAAATATTAGGATTTTCAAAATTTTACTAATTGATTCTAACTTTATGCTCTAACTAACCTTGTTCAGCACACAAAATGCATTATTCCGGCATATTTAATTTTATATTTCATGAATATTTAAGAGAAAATGCTTAATTTTGGCTATTTTGATCAAAATAT